TAGATTCTAATTTCTATTTCTACAGCAAATCAAAAATAAGCATTTCATATGTAAGGGTCTTGCTAATGTAGGGACAATTAAAAGCACATGAGGAATTGCATTATCCTATTTTTTCCTGTGTGCATACATATTTATTTGGAAAATATATTAACATATAAATGTTTTTTGAAACCAAAAAATAGGGGAAAAGTGTAACATTGCTTGTGTTTAAACAAAGCTGTGTCCATGAGGGCACAGTGACATCGGGCTGATTTATTTTTCATGTAATAAATAAAAAGCTACAACACAAAGGTTGATGTGTACATGGTAGTACTACACTCACCCCAGCACTGATTTTCCCGTTTCCTCTGGCTTGCGCACTGTGAACGGGTTTGGATCCGCTCCCACTGTTTTGGGCATAAATTCCCTTTATGATCAGAAAATAGCTATTAGTCGACATCCTGCATAACAACAACAGCTAATAAATTCAGAACACACTGTTTATCAGAGACATGTTTCACTACCAAAATCATTGCTTTTGTATGTGTATATCCACCTTGCAGAGTTGGTCATGGCAATGCAGAACGTGTCATCAAAGGAGGTAAGTTCATACGGTTTGAAGAATTCCGTGTAAATGTCAATACTCTCGTCCAACTGGTTCATTCTCTTCACTTTGACCTTATTCATATTTTCCTCACAGGGAACTGCATCCAAACAGGAACAGAAATAATATTAATATTTATAACAATTACAACCGCTACACCCACACACTTTCAACACAAAAATACACTATATCGCCAAAAGGATTTGCTCATTTGCCATCATACGCCTGTGAATTGAATAACATCCTATTCTTAATCCACAGGGTTTAATATGATATGACATCAGCCCACCCTTCTTCCACAAGGTTTTGGAGTGTGTTTATGGGAATTTTTTGCCATTCTTCCAGAAGCACATTAGTGGGGTCAAACACTAGTGTTGGATTAGAAGGCTTGGCTCGGATTCTCCACTCTAATTTATCCCAAAGGTGTTCTATTGGGTTTAGGCGAGACACCTCGAGTTCTTCAACACCTATCTTGCTAGTCAGTGTTTTAATCGACCTTGCTTTGTACTGTGATACACAGCTATCTTTGAACAGGAAGGGGTCATCCCCAAACTGTTCTCACAAAGTTGAGAGCATCAAATTTTCCAAAATGTCTTTGTTTGAAGCATTAAGAGTTTCCTTTCACTGGAACTAAGGGACTGAGCCCAATTCCTAAAAAACACAACCCCACATCATAATCCCCCTCCATCAAAATTTTAACTTGGCACAAGGGAGTCACGCAGATCACGTTCTTGTGGCAACCACCAAACCCAGACTCCTCCATCAGATTCTTCACCCCAACGAACTTGGGACTTTCTGCACACATTATCATATTACCACTGGAATTCGACAAGCTCATGAGCCCAACCCATTCTTTCACAAGCATTTGTAGAAGCAGAATGCATGCCTAGGTGCTTGATTTTTACACCTGTGGCTAGGGTTGTGCGATATGACCAAAATTTCATATCCTGATATAAGACATCTATCGTCCCGATAACGATATAAATCACAAAAAATGTAACATTTTCTGTAAATTCTGTGAATCACGGGCAGCTCGACTTGCATGAAGCGTTTCCAGCTGGGCGTCGTGTACCTGGAGTCGAGTGTTTTAACTGATGCGTGAAACTATATATTTTTAGACATAAGTTGTAACGGCCGCCGTTTTCTTTGTATTCATTACACGGCGTGCTGCGGGGAAAAACCTGTTCTAACGTTTGAGTCTAAGGTTTATTTTTTAGCACCTGCCGGCTCTTTTTTGCTTCTCATCCGTCAATACTCTGCATAGTGTGATTCAGTTTATTTTGAAAAGTCTCAACAGGATCTTGAGCTTTATTGTGGAGGATTTATGTGGAAAACAAACAAGCGGACACGCAATGGTTTTATCATCGTTGTTGCTAACGACAACGCATAAATACAGGCGCTTGTCCGTCTGTAGTGTGGTTATATAAAATATAAGAGAAAGAGAGAACTTTAAGAAATTTATATAGCCACTACAGTGACCATCAAAACGATGAAAAAATATTGCAGTAAACAGTTTATTTTGCGACACCACGAAACAAAATGAAACGATAGACATTTTTATATCGTCATCCGATATATATCGTTGTATCGAACAGCCCTACCTGTGGCCATGAAAGTGTTTGGAAGACCTGATCTCAATGATTTGGCAATATAGTGTATATTTAAACAAGTCAGTTACAACATCAGTATAAGGTTTGTTGAATCCCTAGATTGGTCTGCAGAGTTATTTTGCATTTATTTTTTACCAACAATAATTGCAACCAAATACACAGTTCCTGCTAGGCTAAGGAATATGGTAAGCAATGACAGACAAAGCCATTGATGGTTGGTCATTCAAATCAGTTTCATAAATAGTTCTGTTTCTTACAATTAAAACCATTAAATTCATTGACAATACCTTCATCATAGGGGACAGGAAGGTAGGACAGGACTCCCTCTGACCACCAGAGTGTATAGCTACAAACAAATAAAATACACAGCATTAAAATATTACAACTTTTGAGAAGGTGAACGCAACCTAAAGTCTGAATTTGTCTCTTCTGGGACTTAACCTACATTTGGAAAATTGGCCTGTCTGGACCACCTAGACTTTTATTCAATGTGAGCAATTTGAGCGAACGCTCTTATGATGATCTGGTTTAGCGTGCGATTTGCTTCTTACTCCTCTTTGAGAGGAAAAGCGCAAAGTGTGGAAGCTGAATTGAATTTAGCTGCAGCCATGCTAATTTTTTGGAATAATGACTGAGCTACTTTGGCCCATTGTGGCTACACAAATTCGTGGCCTGAAAAAGAAAATTGGGTCTGCTTTTACGTAAGTATGAAAACAGTATGAAGCAACCAGAGTGAATACACTCTCACACTTACGCGCATAAATAACAAGCACAAAATCACTCTGGGTCAAAACATGAAGTGAATTGCAGTCATTACTGGATCATGACTAGGACAGACCAATTGATAAACTGACATTGTGAAATTTGTAGGACATCAGCTTGAACAGACAACACCTGCATGAACAAACAACAGGTGATAGAGACATGTGTCATACGGACATGCTTATGTACTGCATGGTGGTTCTAAGAAGACACAAAATAAACAATCAACCACATAAACAGAAATACAAGGAAAAAAGATTATTGATATTTTCTTAGTATGTAGCCCTGTCTTATCATATATTCAATTATATTTAACAATATCTCACATAAAAGGATTTCAGATTTCACCGAAGCGATCATAGACTCCCCAATAAAACGCCTAACCTAACATTACCTCGAGACAAACTGACAGCAACGACTGTTATATTCTATCTTAAAGATCAGATTTGATCTTACAATAGAAATTATATCATATCCAGATACTACAGACATTAGTGCCAGTGTTAAATTACCACTAGGATAATTACAAGGAGAGTAATTACTGTGTTAAGACTGTTCTCCATGAGATCAGTGAGCATGGTCGTGGAGCAGCCAGATCCTCACATCTCAAAATATGCATTAAAAAATGGCAACGTATTTAAAATCTAATGGATATTTTGTCCACACACACACACACACACACACACACACACACACACACACACACACACACACACACACAC